ATGTCACCCCATAGGGGGAATGGCCGTGCTGAAATCCCTTCTCCTCCGTTCTCCTCTCAGGCTTTTGGACATGTGTACACACGTGCCCAGCATGACTTTCAAGCCGCTGGATCTGGGACTCAAATCACGGTAGGTCATGTGGGAGTCCAGCAGAAGTTTGATGTACTAAAATCACAGTAATTGTCGATATTGTTTAAGGGGGTATCTTCTGGTATTTTTGTTGATAACGAATCAGCCCCTTAGGTTGATATGGACAGCTTCATGTTGGGCCTTCACATGGTACATGCTTAGCATGTGTGTACTGAGGACAGAGAAGGCAAGTGAGCAGAGAGTAAACGGAGTGCCGCCAGCTTCAGGTGTTTTCTCAGCCTACACCCCTAATCGTACGTTTTTATTGCAAAGTGTCCTATCTTGACTCAAAGGAGTCACGTGAAGATTCTCCAATCTCTTATTCAGAAGAAATTCTCAGGAAACGAACTTTATTGTTGTGAATTTGGAGACGTACTGCAGTGTTTTGTTCATTCCCGTCATTTCCTTTTGCTTTTTACTCACACTTTAACATATCTGAAATTAAGATAGGCGTTGCAGGCAAGGGTGTCAAAGCTAATAAAATATGGTAATACCACGGCGTGGCAGTCGCTCGTGCAGCAGCCTGTCAGGGATGCACCAGCCCCAGGGACGGCTCAGGTGGATGCCAGGAGGGAAGCGGGATGCCCGGTGGCAGCGTGAATGAGTGAGCTGGGCTGATCCCTGCGTCAGCAAGGGAGGGGCTGCGCAGCAGCAAAGGCTCAGGGACCCCAGAAGAACAGAGCCCATGGAAGGGCACCAGGAGCCCAGTCGGGTAGGAATCTGAGTTTAGCTGTGTGGTGCCCAGGGAGCGAAGCAGAGAGAGAAGGTAACGCAGTGTTTAAAGACCTACCTTAGAGATTAGGTAAACCTGGCTTTGAAGCTCGACCTCATCGCTGTTTCAGTAACTAGTTCTATGACATGTGTCTTCTCTGTGTGCCTCAGACCACCTTCTCCAAGTGAGGAGAGACGCAGTGCACCTCAGAGGGCTTGTAAGAGTAGAATCACATATGACCAAGGGCCCTGCGCAGATCCAGACACCTCCTCCGGGTCTGGTGCCTGACTGGGCATCAGTGCACCTCAGAGGACTTGTAAGGGTAGAATCACGTATGACCAAGGGCCCTGCACAGATCCAGGCACCTCCTCCGGGTCTGGTGCCTGACTGGGCAGTGTTGGGCAGAGGATTAGAAGGAAGGCTGGTGATGTCCCTCACAGAGAAGGCCCATCTAAAGAAATACCTAACCAAGCTTGTGTCGTAGACACCCCCAGTTACAAGGGATTTACTGTAACTCCCGGGTGGTCCGATTCCATGACGCGTTCTGTTTCCATTTAACAATAATTCTTGCGCCACTCTCATTCACAATTATGGGCTGATACGATCCTTTTAGCCAAACCTCCTACTCTCTTCCACCCCGATGATGGTCTTTTCTGTGGCTTCTTACAAGTTCCTCTGATAGGGCCTTAAGTTAGCAATGAACTGCAATGAAAGTCAGCCCTAAAGGCCAGGTGGCACAAATGGTAAACCATGTGGAAAGTGAGTTTTTAAATTATTATTGATTATTCACAGAATACTCTCTTCTGTTGGTATGGATAGTTAAGACTTGGCTCAACATCTAAGTGCAGGGAGACTTAAAAAAAAATACAGTAGTTTGAGAATAACCTCACTGTGTGGTGCCAGTGAGTGTAAATTACAACTCTTCAGACTGACCATAAAACCAAAACAGATGTTAGAATAGCTTATAGTTTAAATTTTTCTTTGAACTGTAGATATTGCTATAATCAACGGAAATTTCCAAATATTTCTGGAGACATAAAGACAATATGCGTAGACAGAAGCAGTTTTAGGTTTGGAAGCCTTACTCCTGTACCAGACTTACTGAGTAGGTACAGACTTACTGAATAGCATCTCTGACACAATGGCAATCGAGATGCATTGATGAGAAATAAATATAGCTCAAGACTACCAGCCAACATGGACCTGAAGAGATACTTAAGTGTAATTTATATCCTAAACAAAGTGATCATTTGCCCTAGTTCTATCAAAAAAAAGACTAAATTGTACTGGGAATGAGTCAGAGGCATCACAAAAATATGCTAAAGACTTCATCTAATGACTACCAGACAGACTCGCTGTCGAATAGCTCTAGACTCTTAAAAGACTTAACTTTGCCATTTCATATTAATCTGGTCCATTGAACGTACACATTCTGTATGTTAACAAAAGACTGTAAATACCTTAAGGAGAAAAACAGAGAGGCAAAGCATTTATGGGATAAAGAAATGAGTTATCTGTTGAAGATAATTTTATAGTATTGTCAACTGGACTGGTGAAAAATGTACACATGTTGGAATATTCACTTTGCAAGCTAAATAACATGATTGAATGTATGAAATAAATTGAAATTTAAAAAAAGAGAAGAGTATAAATACTTTAAAAAGCCTATGACAAAGAGTCTTATAAAGTAGTTATTTTTCCATGTTACCTAACACTTCTAGGGAGAGATTAGGGTATACCAGTTAGTAAATTAGAAAGGACCTTTAGGAAAACCAAATCTGGATGTTGGGCTTGAATAATTTTCTAAGGATCCACCACCCTATTGTTCAGCTTTTTAATCCTTTCCAATAAGTATAGGAAAGCCAGACCAGCTGTTCATCAAAACTGCTTCCCCTTTGTCTGGGCTTACAGCTAAATCTCACTTCCTAGGCTTCCTTCTATAGCAGTCAGATAAGGCTGTAGGCCTGAGTTCCAACCACTAGAAAGTAAGCAGAAATTGGAGGAGCCACTGCCAGTCCTAGCCTGCAGAAACTCCCATCCTACAGAGAGCATATGCTAGTGATCTTATATGTCGGGGTCCCCAA